ATGCATTTATAACATACTTAAGGGACAATTGTGATAAAGGTTCTATTTTATTTGATTCTATAACAAACATATTAATTCAAACTTTTTAATTTTATTAAGAATTAACCCATAAATATCTAAAAATATACATGGATTGATTTTATGTAGGCAACCCACTATACTGCAGAGTATTGCAGACCCAGAGAACAGACATATTTTAGATGTTTCCTTTTTTGGAAGTAATAAATTCATAATTTGTTTAAAACAAGCTATTAAGAAAAATTATGGCAAAAACCACTAACGAAACTTTTTTTCTATGCCCCTGAATGAATTCATTATAAATAATTGCACTACAATTATTATTTATTAATTTTTTAAAGTTTTTCCTTTCTTATAAGTGAAAAATTCATAATTTGTTTATAAGAAACTCCCAAGAGTATATAATAATAAAAAACATTAAGGAAGCTTCTTTTCTGTGTCTCTGAAGTAATTGTTTATGAATAAATACATTATAATTGCTGTTATTGATCTTTTATGATTTTCCTTTCCTGTAAGTGAAAAATTCATAATTTGTTTATATGAAACTCACAAAAGAAAATTATTGGATTAAACATTACAGAAGCTTCTTTTATACGTCCCTCAACCGAATATTTATACATTTCAATTACAAATTAAGGATTAATATATTGTAAAGCAAAACTGAAAAGCTACTTACATTTATTCACAGAAGTTGAGCAGCATGGTAAAGTTGTTCTTTGTGGTGTTGCTGGAGTGAATTGTGTAGTATCATCTTAATTGCTTCTGAAACCAAATGATTGATTGACAAGAATTTTAATTTACAATATTTCATTCTTAATTTAATGTTTAATTTTCTTGCCAAGTTTATATAATGTTAAACTATATTCTTATTTGTCTTCATGATCATCACTCACACATCTACTGTTTTTTATTATACAGTATTAACATGTAACTGTTCTAGGAGGTTGTCATTATTATTTTTTTAAATACAAAAAAAGACACTTCTTGTTAAATGTTTTAATGATCACATGAACACTGCATATTAATTATAAATGGACAAATATAGTAAATCAAGACCATAAGCTATGTATTATCTGTATTAAAATATTATTGAGCTGTATTAATTTGCTGTTTCATTCTCATTCCCAATACACTAGCAACTGCATCTCGTATTTTACTCTTTTCAAGACCAATAATTTGTATTTTCTCCATTTGCTCAGTAACAAATGCTACTTTTCGTTTGAAATAATCTTTAGAAGCATCATTGTCCTAAAAATTAAACAATTTAGGCAGACTGAAAAACAATTAAATAACTAATTCCCCACCATTTCAGCATAGTAGCCTGTACCAATATCAATTATCACCCGGTTTGTATCCTTCAGTCTACCTGGTACATACATCTATATATAAGTAAAGGCTATATACACATACAAAATACTACAAAATGTAACAAGGCTCAAAGGATACTGAACCAGTTAGTGGAACAAGAAGTGGTTTGTCTTCTGACTCTGGTCCAAAATTTCCCAAACAGTCAGCTGAATTTTGAAATTTCTTTAATGCTACTTTTAAAGATTGTAGAGAGTTTTGAAATACTACTAATTCCTATAAAATAAAAGAAAATACAATGAACAGGTCAGTGATTTTTTTCGGGTCATGTAGTCTTACCTGATCTAACTGTTCTTTAAGTTGCGTTAATTGTGGAATTGATAATTTTGTTAGGTCTATTTGGTGCATATTTGCTTCAGGAGGTCCTATAGTTGCCATTTTTACACTATTTATGGCTATTTCTGAACTTTCTTGACAATTTTGGTAATGAGAGCTTAATTTGGTTATGTTTCTTTTCAACCATAGACATTAGCATAGATAAAAACTGAAGTTTACAGATACCTGTATTAATATTCTGCTAACTTCACACTATACTACCAGGTTACCCAATGCCAATGATTAACCTACATAACCTCACAATTAGTTGTCAAAATAACATTAAAAATGATAGTTTCGAGGTGTTTTTCTTCCTTAAAAGCCATAAAATATATAAAACCAGCTGCAAAATTTAGTACTTCTTCTATTCGCAATGGACATGGAGAGTAAATATTATTTTAATTTAATGTAATTTTAAATTTATTTGATTATGTAATTTAATGTTTTAGATGGCACTATCGAGGAGGAGTTGTAAAAAATCCGAAGTGGGTTACACCTGCAGCCGAAATTATTCAAGGAATAGCCTGGTGGTGGGTTTTGTGGCATTTATTCACTCAATTCGATCATATCACCGTAAGTGCAAAATGCTGCTACAACTTTGTTTAAATTTACCAGCTAGTTATGACCACAATTTTTTACCTTGTTATATGAATATGATTATTATATTGCCTTTGTTAAAAGAAATATAACTTGGGGAGCCTATTTTTTTTGCTAACGTGTTTCTAAGGGGCATTTATATGCATTATTACCCCCTCTTACTTTTTGTATAACATTTGAAGTATATTTTCTTGTATTGTCTGTTCTAGGGAGAATTTGAGTATCCCGATCCAAGCAAATGGACAGATGAAGAGCTTGGTATCCCAGAAGAGGTGTGATATTTATGTTTAAAATGATGTGTAAGGTTCTACGTTTTGTTAGTAAAATTCCAAATAAATAGCTAAATAAAACTTGATTGCTAGTATCATGTGTTTTTATTTTACAGTAAACAATTTTTCCATTTTTATAGAAAAAAAAAGATAATGAAAGATAAAAAAAAGTAATAAAGTATTTTCTTATTCAATACAAAAACGTAAAGTATTAGTGCTTAGTTGGGACACTTATGGATATAAGTTTAGTTTCCAAATATTCCTTAATTCCTTCTTCACCTCTGAAAATAAAGTATTTAAATTTTGAAATTAAAAAAAAAGGAACATTAAAGAAAAGAATATGTAAAGCTCACAGTTCCCTTCCAATTCCTGAATGCTTATATCCTCCAAATGGATTTTGGGGAGTTACCGCATCATAGCAATTAATCCTAAAAAATACGTTTCGCCAAGTTATTCTTCTAATATACAGGGTGATGCGTAGTCCAGTGAGCACAAATTAGTCTTGTAATATGTACAAGTTACACTGCCTGAACTTATTTAAATCCAAAATAATTATACAGAATGTTGCACTGATATTTGAGAATAAAAGAATGATTTATTATTTCTTTTATTCGGTGTGAAATTAAACCCAAAAAGGGGGGTTAAAGATTGTCTATTTATTCAAAAGCAACAGTCAACGTTTCACCTAAGTGGTCGAGCTTTATCAAGGCTAGTTTTTTATATTAAACAGGTAAGATGTAAAGCCTATCAAATTAGCGACCCCATGCACTTTACATTTTCTTTAACTTATAAAACTAGCCTTGATAAAGTCCGACAATCTGGGCGAAATGTTGGCTGTCGTTTTTAAATGAATAAATAGTCTTTAACCCCCCTTTTTGCCATTGATTTCACACCGAATTTAAATACAGCAGAAGAATAGATAATGGAATTAATTTTATTATAATCAATTTTTAATGGGCAAATGATAAAGACAAATAAAATTAATTTATTTTTAATAGGATATAACTAAGTTTGCATTGTTCTTTGAAAGGTAATTTTTGTTAAAATCCAGTCAAAAATGAATTCTAAAAATATTTTTTTCTCGTAAAATTGAGCAACTTTCGGTCTAATGTTTTGGAGATGAGGAGTACGTGTAAACATTAATAATTTTCTTTAGAAATTGTAAAATTGTTTACCAAACAGATCCGGCCTGAACCCCTTGAGCAAATACCAAAGCTGTATTAATATCTTTAGTAACAACCCCGGCTGCTAAACCATATTTTGTATCGTTTGCCCTTTCAATAGCTTCGTCCAATGTTTCGAACTTGAAGATGCATTGAACCGGACCGAAAATCTAAGAAATATATTTTTAAACACTGTCGTTCTAAAAATATCCACTTAAAAAATGGTAAGTACTTCTTCTTTAGCGATAGTCATTTGGTCTTTTACTTCAGAGAAGACCGTTGGGGTGACAAAATATCCAGCATTCCCGAATTGCTTTCCGCCCGTTTCCAATTTGGCCCCCTCTCTAACACCGGAATGGATCAAATTCAGTATCTTATCTACAGCTGCTTGATCGATCTATCAATAAATAATGGTTGTTTTTTTTAAACGAAAGTGGTGTTATTTTTTTCGTTATCTACCTGAGGTCCTTGGTTCACTGATTCCTCGAAAGGGTTTCCAAGGACCTTTTCTTCGGCCTTTCTGACAGCTCTCCGAACAAATTCGCTGTAAATGCGAGATTGAACGTAAGTTCGTGAACCAGCGCAACAATTCTGTCCATGATTGGCAAAAATTGCGTTATGCGCTATTTCGACCGCTTCATCCACTGAAAAGGTGAATTGTGTCCTCGACTATATTTTACCAATTTCATTTTAAAAAATTCTACACTTACAATCGGCATCATTAAATACAACCAGTGGACTTTTCCCACCGCATTCCAAGCTGACTCTTTTCATATTAAATACGGCTGCAGTTTGCATCACTTTTCTTCCTACCTGTAATTTCATTTTGGGACTTTTGCGATAGATAATTTAGAAGGAATTTAATACCTCTGTCGATCCTGTAAATGCTATTTTGTCAACATCAGGATGTTCTACAAGTGCCGCTCCTGTAACATCTCCAAATCCTGTTACAACATTTATTACCCCTTTGGGAAATCCTGCTTCTTTAGAAAGAGCAGCAAGAGCCAGAGCCGTCAAAGGTGTTTGCTCGGCCGGTTTTAGGACAATGGTACAACCGGCAGCAAGTGCCGGACCCCACTTCCAGGACACCATTAAAATGGGATAATTCCATGGTATTATTTGCCCAACAACTCCCACCGGTTCTTGCCGAGTTAAACTGAGGTAGTTTCCGTCTAATAATGCAGAACAGTTATTTTTTGGAATGTTTTACTGGTCAATTTTCTAAGAAGATTAATTGATTTAACATTGACATTAAACTCTGGCTCACCAGTGGGGATAGTGTTGCCGTGTATTTTATCACAATATCCAGCGTAATATCGAAAGACGTCAATAGCACACTGTATATCAAATATCGAGTCCTTGTAAGGTTTTCCATTATCAAGGGTTTCTAAACTGGCAAGTTGATCAATATCTCTCTCAATTAAATCTGCCAACTATAGTGTCCCATACAAATAACAACAAAAAACGAAACGTTACCAAAGTGGTGAATATTACCTTATAAATTAGTCGACCCCTTGCTGACGCGTCCAATTTTCTCCAGACTGATCCTCTGGCAAAAGCTGTTTTCGCTGCATTTACAGCAACATTAACGTCCTCCTTAAATTTGTAATTTTCGATCACTCAATTAACACGAAATTAAAAAATCATTACACACTTTATCGGCTTCGGCAACGTCTGCTATCTTCGTACAATCGACCGGGTTAAGCGTTTGGAAACTTCGCTTCTTTATGGAGTCGACGAACTCATTATTAATGAACAACTACGAATAATAATCGTCGTTTAAAGTAACTAATTTACTATTAGGAGGAATAACTGTGAGTTTATTTTAACCACGTACCTGCGTGTATTTAATATTCCTTTTAGCAACTGTTTGATGATTTTCCATCTTTTCCACTGTGATGTGAACAGAAGAAGAGCGAAGTAAATAATGTTGTTTGTAGTTGTACAACTTTCGTAATAAATAACACGTCTAGTCACGTGTTTTAGCTTTAACTTATTATGTTTGAGTGGGAGACAACGGCATTAACAATAAGAAATGAAATGTTTTGTCACAAGAGGAAAAACGTCGAATGTTTAATATTGTTCTGTAGCACAATTATGGCATAAGGAATGATCATTTACAGCGTAAAATTTGCGTTCTTAATTGTGAAGAAATTTTATAAAAAAAGACTAGGTACTGGACTTTGAATAACTATAAAAACTTAACATGTGTTTCAGTGCTATTGTAATTGACTTAAGTCACGATCGATAGATCAAGTTTTTTACCTTTCCGCGTTCCCACTATCTTTAAGTCTTGGAAGAATTGCAAAGTATCGCTTATATCCATTGTTGGTTTGTTTTTAGATTTTACGGTTAATAGAAATAATTAATTACGAAATGAAGACGAAAAAGTTTACAAAAATTTAAAAAAAAAGTTACAAATAATACATCTTTTTGACTTTGACTTTGACTTTGACGTTAAAGTTAATAAACTTGAAAAAAAATAACGGTCTATTACGACGTTAAAAATATTGTAAGTTGGTACTAAACGTAAAGTTACAGCGCTACTTTTGCTTTCATTTCACTTCCTATGCCTATTTTTACCTTACTCATTTATCTAATTTTAGTGAGAATAATAGGAGCGATAATTCTTATTCTTTCTCTTACCTAAGGCGTCCTTATCTTCGGGAAGAATGTATTTTTCGGATATCTATCTTTTTTCAATTTCGCCAAGTTGTCTTTGATATTCGGTCAACAGAACAGATCCTTTCGAATTAGAGAAACCTATTTGTTGAATGGGAAGTTATCGCTTTCCACGGAGGCAAAAAGAATGTGTTTGAGGGGGCGGGGAAGCGTCACGTAAGGGTGCGCGTCCCTCGTTGAAACGACGCCGACCGACGTAGGGTGCAGTGTGCGTCGATTGCGCGCCCTTTAAACATCGAATTTTGCGAGTTGTTTCCAAGTCTCTTAGTTCCGGTGTGAAATTGTTCAAATAAATTTTTTAAAATGTGCCCTCAGTGACCAATCTATTGGTTGAAATCGACCTGATGGTGGCACTTAAGAATAAAAGTCTTTTCTTTGGTAAGTGTATCAATTAGTTTCTTGCAAGTTGATTTTACGAAAAAGTAATTAAAATTTGCCTAGTAAATTGGTGTCGCACTTAAAACAATAGATGTTTTACATAGATGTTAATTAATGAAGTCATTGGGGAAGTTAGTAAAGAAAACTTTCGAAAAAGTGAACTTCGTAAGTTCAAACTGTTAAACCCAGTGAGATTTAGTAAAAAGTTAGCTGAATTTCCGAAGGAAGCCTTACCAAAATTTGAAATAAGAAGCCGCCAATAACCACCACAAACTCGTCTTATGTACGGTAGCCTTTCTTTATTGAATATGTAAACAAAAATTTTGCCATAGCCTCTGTGTTAACATTTGTATGTTTTATTTAATTCGTTTGATACTCGGTTCACGGTGCATTTCGATTGTTCCAATAATTCCAAAAGATGTCTCTCTCCGGTAACATTATTTAATTCCGAAGCACACTGTTCCATGCGAATAGTGTCCTCAGCAAAATCCCTCAAGTGATCTCCCATATGACTGTAAGAGCCATTGTCCTGTAAACTCTGTCTCCTTCTTTTCTTCTTCTGCAATTGTTCCTTCAAACAAGTTATTTTTTCATCTTTCTCATCTATCTCACATAAAAGCGTATCTATTCTTTTCGCCTTTTCTTGAAGTTTCTTTCGCAGATCGTCCACTTCTTCTTCCAATTCCGATAGTTTGCATTTTAATTCTTTAGCTTCGCATCTAATTCTGGAAATAGCTTGTTCCATGTCTCTCTGAAGATTTGTCAAGCGAGCACTGGATTGATTCAACTGAAGGTTCTTCTTATCCATTTCGCAACAAAGTCTTGCTAGACCTTCTTCGATTTGTTTTTGACCTTGGTCTCTTGCTATCGTCAGCTTTTTGACTTCCATAATGAGACGCTTTGTTTCCTTTTCTCTTTCGTCTAAACACATTTTGCAGCGTTTATTTTCGGCGAGAAGTTGTTGATTTTGTTTGTCTGTTTCCTTGTAGTGTTCGAATTGCTTCTTGATTTCTTCGCATTCCTTTCTCAATTCCAGTACACTCCTGTATTTTTCGGCCATTTCATCTCGCTCTTGTTTGATCTTCTCCATTTCTTCAAGTTTAGAATTTGCAACTATAAGTTCTTTCTCGATGTCTTTCATCTCATCTAACTTCGCTTCCAAACTGCAATTTTGGAATATCAGTCGATCAGCTTCTTCCGCCTTTTTCTTGAGCCTACAAATCTCGTCGTCGCTTTCTTTTGCCTTTCTCATTCTGAGCATGTTCCGTTCGGTGATTAGATTTTGAATTACGCACCTCTGTTTTTCAATTTCGTTAGAAGCACAACATAATTGTTTCCTGACTTTTGCTAATTCTATTTTTAAATCATCGAACTTTTCATCGACCATTGCTGCATTGTCGTTTGCCGATTTGACCGATTCTAGTTCATCTTGTAATTGCTGGCACTCTTCCCGCAAACATTGGCATTCATCGTCTTTTTCCCTCAAAGCTTCCGTTTCCAGTTCTTGCATTTCACACTTAAGCGTCTTCACTTGCGCCTCTGTTGCTTCGCAGGCATTTCTTAAATTCTCTATTTTCGATTCGGCACATTCTAGAGCTCTCTGTAAAGAGTCGCGATCTTCGCAGATGTTTTCAAGTAGTGATAATTTATCGATTGCTTCATCTGCGCACATTTTCCACTCATCATCAGCATTTGCATCATAGTCGTCACACTCTAAATCCTGATTTTCGTCATGTGCGGTTCCTCCTGGTCCAGTACCATCAGGTCCAAGTTCCAATGCAGCAGCACCTGCTCCTTGAGCACCTGCTTGACCTGCTCCTTGAGCACCTGCTCGACCTGCTCCTTGAGCACCTGCTTGACCTGCTTCTTCAGCATCTGCTTGACTTACTCCTTCAGCACCTGCTTGACTTGCTCCTTCAGCACCTGCTGCTTGAACTCTTGCTTGACCTGCTTGACCTGCTTGACCTTCTGCTTGACCTGCTGCTAGACTTCTTGCTTGTCCTTGTGCTAAACTTCCTGCCTGACCTGCTGCTGGTCCTGCTACTTGTTTTAATCTTGCTAGTTCCTCTTTTTCACCCGCAAAGTATATATTCATAAGCGCCTCAAGCGGAATGAATGTGCCCACAGCGGAACATCGTCGAGGTTGTTTGAGCACAAGTTCCAGAAGGAATTCCCTTCGGTCTTCGCAATCGGTTGACCATGCTCTGGTATCTCTTGCAGACTCTTGAAGTTTAAGTCTACCTTCTGATCTTCTAGCTACTAAATCTGGACCTCGTTGAAAGGCATTTGTACGTTTGGCTACGAATGTCATTTTCTATGTAATTACACATGGCACTAGAATTTTGAATTTAACCAACCATTTTAGATTGCATTATTAAACATACGACGGTTTCATTACTGTCGCTAACAACGCAACGTCAAAAAATATCAACTTAAACGTCATTGGCAAAATTCACGTAACTTTTCTTTAATATAAATTAACCGATACAGTCATAAAATGGCCTACGTAGCAAAAAAAGATAAAGCTTTCGAAGATGTCGGTGCTAGCCCGTGGGTAATTCGTCGTAGGTCTGATGGAAGAATTAAATTGTTCAGATCGACGGGAGATGTACGAGCTTGGTCGCATTGCAAGGAGGATCGTCGACAATACATTTTAGATCTTCTTATGGCGGACATTAAGAAATGTGCAGGAGGTCTTATACCATTGGACCTGCTGGCAAAAGCATGCCAGGGAGGATCGGCAGGAGGAGGGATTACGAAAAGTTTATCGAGTGGAGCAGACAGAACGAAAATAAGAAAAGGAGAAGGATCGATAGATAAAGGTGATGAATCCCTAACAACTGAAAAAGATGCTACAGAGGGTGACTTTGGGGAATCAGGTGTGGGTGAATCTATAGCTGGGGTGACTGTAACAGGAAGATCGGCAGCGGACAGTTACGTATTAGGAGGGTCCAAATTAGATAGAACCGGTGCAGATATAGGACGGTCGACATTAGGGCCTAAATCAGGAGGTGACGATTCCGGATTAGGAAAATCTGTAACTTTAACTTCCGGACCGGGAAAGATGCGATCGGAAGAAGCTGAAGCAGTTGTTTCAAACGTAGGTGGAAATATAGGAGAGCCAAAGTCAGATAGGTTACGATTAGGGGACTCAGACGTGGATCGAAAAAGGGCAGAGGGAGCAGGAATAGGGAAACCGGAAGTAGATAGAATAGGACCGGGAGGCTCAGGTGCTGAAGGGGCTAAACTAGCAGGGAAAGGGTTAAAAGGCGCAGGTACAGATGGAACTGAATTAGGTAGGGTAGAAGTAGAAGGAAAACAAGGGGAATTAGGGGCTGTGGGAGGAACAGGAACTCAAGGTAAGAGAGCAGCAGGAGAGGAGTCAGTAGAACCAGGATTAGAAGGGTCAGAACTAGGTGGGTCAAAATTAAGGGAGCCAGGAGTAGAAAGTTCTCGATTAGAAGGGCAGGAAAAGGTAACACCAGGAATAGGAGGGGAGGAATATAAAATGGGAGCGTCGGGAAGGTGTGCAACTAAGGGACAACAAACAGAAGACCCGTGCCTAAAATACAAAAAGACTGTTAGATGTCAAGGTATATTGGAAGTTACTTACGCTTTTTGCAATTATTTACTATTTAATTTTAGGTGTGGCTACTGATAACATGGGGAAGAATAAAGGAGTGGACACAAAGGGCAGAATTGATGATGATGGGGCAGCAGCAGGAGCGCGCGCGGGTGCTGGTGCTGGTGCTGATTCTGGTGCGGGTGCTAGTGCGGGTGCGGGTGCTGGTGCGGGTGCGGGCGCGGGCGCGGGAGCGGGAGCGGATGGAGGATTGGGTGCAGGAGGCGCAGGAACGGGTGCGGGTGCAGGAGCGGGTGCGGGTGCAGGAGCGGGTGCGGGTGCAGATGGGAATGTAGATGAGGATGCAGCAGGAGCGAGCCGAAGTGAAGGTCAAATTTGTAAACCAAAGCTACCACCCGAGTGCACTGTTAAGAAGTTCAAGTCTTGTGGATCGTTACCACAAGAAAAATCACCGTGTTCGCGACTGACGGAAATTGATGGAACCATTGCTAAACAACGGAAAATTGCCCGTAGTCAAGGGTTAGCAGCGTACATAAAAAATGTGGTAATGTGCGACGATCGTGGTAACAAAAGTGCCGCATTAACAGTTATCGAAGAAATGCTATGCGTCATTCAGCGTCAACAGGCAAAAACAAGAAGTGCCGAGTGTAACACGACTGGCGATGAAAAAAACGTAGAACGATTACGTTCAGTCATTGATGATTACAGGGCCGAAACGGAAGAACTTAGGAATCAAATTTCACAAGCATATTGTACAGAAAAGAAACACAAGAAGCTAATCATTCAACAGTCTGAAAGAATAAATCAATTGGAAGTGTGGGCTAGCGCCGATAGGAACGAACTGGATAGACTAAGAAAGCAATTATGTGGAAGGGGAGAGGAAACGCAAGCTTATCACGAAATGATGAGGAATATGATGAAGGAAATAGAGCATTTAAAGCTACAAAATTACGAACAACTCACCGCTCAACAGGAACACGAATGTCAAATGAACCGATTACAGGAGTACGAAAGAGAGCTCTGCAAAGTGAAGCAAGAACGGGATGGGCTCAGAAAAAAAATGCAAAAATCAAACTGTTGTCAAGAAGTACAGGTTGATAAAGACCGAGAAAAGCAAGACAAACTGTTATGTCAATTAAATGAATGTCAAAGGAATGCAGAGATGAAGGAACGAGAATTGAACACTCTCCGTAAAGAAGTTGAATGCCTGAAAAGTGCGAAAAACAAGAAGGAAAAAGAAATGGAATGGGCCCTGTCGAAAGTTAAAGGTGAACTGGATAAAAAGGAATGCATCATTAAACAATTTGGAAATCAACTGGTACAGTTACAGAACACGTTACAGGAACGTGAATGCAGGCTAAGGGAAGCCGAAAATAGCTTGATGGAAATGCGAGAGCAGATGTTCGAACTTAAAATCAAATTTGATGCAAATAGGGATGAAGTGGATAAACTGTATGAGCAACTCTGTGAAAAGGGTAAATCTTTACAAGATCTACAGGAACAAAGTAATAGTTTCAACTGTTCTTGTTAGTAACATCCTCCTTTGCGGTTATTTGAAGTCCCTGTTGTATCTTTCAAAAAAAAAACAAAAATTAATAAAAAAAGTGTAAAAAGCATTTAATTTTTCCGGTAAAGATGAAAAACCTTTGAAGGTATTTTAATTTAAAATATAAGACGATTTTAAGTAGGTCTCTACATATGTACCAAGCACTTTTTGTCAAAGATATTTTTGTACTCAGAAAAGTTTTAAAAAAATAAACTTTCCAAGAACAAGTCGGTGTAAGTAGTTTATTTTTAAAAATTTAGAATTTTCAGTAAAAATTGCTTTTGCTTTATGATAATATACTTGTTAAATAGTAGTAGTGACTATCTCTTCCTAAAAGAAATATTAAAATCGGTTGAAATTACAAATATTCCATCAATCATTAGATATATAAATAGGTGTGCGCGTTAAATTTAGTTTCTCAGAGTAATACTATAAAGACAAAATATAAACGACGCTCTACATCAAGGCAGCGTGGCCGAGCGGTCTAAGGCGCTGGTTTTAGGCACCAGTCCGAAAGGGCGTGGGTTCGAATCCCACCGCTGTCAACTTTTTTTCATCTTTATTCTATAAAACAAGTTATCATAAAAACTTGAATGTTGTTACACGAAAGTAAAAATGTCGGAAACGGACTAATTTAACTGATTAGATAAGAGGAAAACTTGAAATACGCAATTTGTTTTTGAAAATAGTTATTAGAAATCAACTAGATTTTAATTATAAGCAAAAGCCTTTTGAATTGACATTCACTCACGAAAAAGAATGGGGTTGTTAGGAGGGATAAAATGAGGGTTTGCTATTCTCCCTGTGGCTATAAAGATTGTAAATCCGAGTGAAGAGGAGTTTGGAAAGTCTAATTAAGTCATACATAAGGATAATGGGCTGTAGCGTATAAACAATAAGCACCTCAGTTTTAGCAACGTTCTGTAGCATTAATTTTAATACAATATACGTACAATATCAATATTTATTCATTTCTAAACTATTCTATTTCTTTTGAGACGTCATCTAAGTAGCATACCTATGTCAAAATTAAAAAATTATAACCTCTGTTAATTTAAAACCTTCGGATTGGGAAAAAAAAATGTGGAACTAATAATAAAAAAAAAAATACATCATGAAAATCCTGAATACATAATGGCTAGTAGAGCATTTCCCCTGTTGAAATTATTTGGGGTGTTTGTGAAACAAGTAAGCGGTCCTGTGTCAAAATACATTCAGAAGGAAGCCCAACAAAGACCTTTGCTTAGAAATAAAATTTGTGTCCCACTTGGACAGGCCTTTAACAGGTTCGTAAGATTTTATTATACGATTAATAATGTCGTTACACCATATGGGAGTCACGTTTGTTAGTTGGCTCATTGGCACCGTTTCAAAAACCAAATAAGTCTTAAATTAAAATCAGAATTAAACTTTAGATTAAAAGGAACATCGATTTGTGCGAGTTCTTCAGAAGTGATTAATCGAAATCAATATATAGTCATGTCTAATTGCAAGGAAACTTTTTTGAATTCAATTCTTAGTTTTTTCTCTCTACCCCTATTCTGAGATAATATGTTAAAAAATGGTTTCATATTTGTTACTAGTAATTCGAAAAAGTCCTGAAGCAGTTTTAAAACCTAAGAGAGATTCGTTATCATCATAAGGGTGTTAGACCTAAGACGCGCACCTCCACTTTTTCCTGTCCTGAGCTAATCTTTGCAATTCCCTAAAACTAGAACATTCCACATCCTTAAGTATTTGTGAATACTAATGTAATTAGGATTGCCACCTTTTCAGGCTTTACATAAAGTATTTCTCGACCAAAAGGTCCAAAAAAAGAAGTACTCAGCATAAAAATAAAGTATTTTATTTTTTGTTTTTAAAAACATACTTTTTGTTACACCACACCTAGCAGCCAGTAACAAATTGCTGTCGCTCTTAAATACATTAATAGCCTCTAAACATGGCAAATAAAGATTTAAGTAAACTAAAAGTTCATTTTTAATTAGTTTTAATGAAGCTTTATTCCTGTCGTCCCACCACTTTGCGTTCATAACAGAGAATACTCTTTCTGTAAATGCTGAAGTGGTCGGAACGGACAGCAAAAGGGACAACTACCTTGAACAGATTTGGGAAATCAGGTTGTTCCGTACTTAGAAAATATTGTATTGTGCAATATTATTGATGTAAAAATACTCTGAATTTCGAATAATCGCTTACAAAATTACGATGTGTACTTAAGGCCTTAAATAAAGTATTTTTGCGTACTTTATGGGTCTTGTAAAGTATAATGTACGCACAGTCGAAATAGAGTACAATACTTTATAATAAAGTACGGGTGGCAACCCTAAATGTAATCTACGTCTACCTCTACTACTGCTTCTGCTCCTAATACGTTTTTAACTATAGCCATTCATGCCTGAGGTGTCCTACCAACCTCTCTTACATCTCGCCTATAGTGACCTCTGTTCTCCTATTGTTTCTAATGCTTCCTCATTTCTAACCTTCTCTATCCACGGTATCCCCAACATTCGCCTATAACACCACATTTCGAACGCTTCTAACCTTTTCTTTTCCGCCGCGCCCATCGCCCATGTTTTGCACCCGTACAGCGCCACGCTCCATACATAGTAAATTAACCATTTGCGAGCATACAAGTACTGCTACCGAAAATCAGCGACTTCTTCCGATATTTCGTCTCCACTCTTTATGTTCGCTCATTCCTCACTTTTTCTCAGGGGGATTACAAGAAGCTTTAATTTGCAAAGTTGCTATTATAGGTTTGATACACGTGTACGGATGTGGCTTTATAATGTGGGTCGTCCTGTAAAAATACCCCCATTAACGGAGGAAATGGCTGTGCGAACTGCTGCAAATCTTTTGGGTGAAATGTTTGTTTTCGTAGTAACCTCTGCGGTCGTTTTGGAGGAATACGAAAAAAGTGTAAGGAAAGAAAAAATCAAAGAGGACATGCGACGAAAAGAAATAGCTTCGCTGAATGAAATTTCGAGCGAGTTGCTTCAACTTACCACTAAAACTAAGAAAGAAATTGACGAAACGTGGCAGCTACTAGAAGAACTATATCCAGATCGTATTCGAAAAATTATAGGGTCAAAAATCACCAACTCAGCCAAAGATGTTGAATAATAAATTCTTTGGGTCTAATGCTAAGTACAAACTGCAGGTGAAGTGAAATCAAATTACATAAATAGATTGTTTTTGGTGAAAACTTAATTAAAAGATACGACGAGGCGAAAGGTTAAAGGTCTTACCAACTCTTTCGAAACAATCATTTCTGTTCGAAATTTATATCCAGAATAAAAACAAAAAACAGGGGACAGCTAATAAAATATTTGTTTGTTTGACATTCTAAATTCCAATTTTTTTACAATACAATTGTCAAAATCATACACAATGAAATGTTTCAAAACTTTTAGTTAACAAAATAATTAAAAAAGAAAAAAGAAAATAAAAATGGAATGAGAGGACAACTGATTCTAGTTCAAATTGCTGGTTTATTTATTAAACAACTCACTAAACCAGTTGCTACAAGTATTAAAACTGCAGCCAGGAATAGTGACCGGTTTAAAAATGGTGTATGCATCCCCTTGGGCCAAATGTACCATCGGTAAAGTAAATCTGACAATTCAATATATATATACGTATATTACTTACTAGATTTATGTAGGTTAGAAGTAAAAGTAAGAATGTGGGAACATAACATTGGAAAGGAAATCAAAATACCAAACCTAAACGACGAGCAAGCCATTAATACTGGAGCAAATTTAATGGGTGAGCTTTTTATGTTCACTATGGCATGTTTGTTAGTTTACGAAGAGATTAGTGTGTCTAGGAAAAGGGAAAGAAATTTGGACGCCAAAAGGAAACAAGAAATAGTCAATATACAATCCCTGCTAGAAAGAGCGAAGAAAAATTGTGACAGAAATTCTAAAAGTGTACTCGAAATCAAAAAAATAATAGAACAGATCTCTTCGGAGCCTAAAAAAGAAAGATCATGAGGCACGAAAATAATCACCTTTGCATGAGACGAAGCAGATATTTATAAAAATTATTTTAGGAATTAAAATTGTCCCATCAGATGCAGATTTAATTGAAATTTGAACGATTAAAATGAATGAAAACTACACCATTGCATTGATAGAATTTGAGGTTATCGTCGTACTGAAAGGTGAATGAAAAAAATGAAGGCAGGCAGGAATGAAGTTAAATGTAACACTTAAAAACTGTTTTAAAATAAAACTAGATTTAAAAACGAATACATTTTTTCAAACAAGAAAAATCTACCAGACTCATTGATTCATCAACGGCCAAACTAAACCCTTGCGCCTAGATTTTTGATCTAAATTATTGTATAGAGGTTTACTTTATGATATATTCAAGGAGTAAGGAAGGATATTACGAAATTCAACGCCTAAGAGGTGGCAAAGTTTCTATGGAATATTTTTGTTTGTGTTCAGATTTACTTGAAGCATAGACCTAATACTCTTTGAAATAGTTAATCAAACACTTATTTTGCTATTTTAAAAAATACAACTTCTGAAAGGATTAAAAGGCTACGCTCAGCAAGTCGGGTTGGTTACAACCAGTAACGATATCAAAATATACTTAATAACCTATTTTCCACTTGTGGATTTCGCTGAGTTTAATGGGATGTCAAAGATTTTACATTAAATTCAATGAAATCCACAAAGGTATTTTTTAAATACAATTCCCATGAATTTTATTGATAAAACTGATGCACTATTACAAGTTTAAATCGAATTCAAATTTATTTGGCTCAAGTTCATAACATATTTTACAATATAATACAGCGTTTCTTTCAGACGACAGACCAAATAATAATTGAAAAAACGAAGTTTTGTATAATTAAAAGATTGATATTTTAGTTAATAGAATTTCTGTCAGGCATTCTAAAGAATCTGGTAGGTATTTAATCTTATCGGAAATTAAACGGTATAGGTAGGTATGAAATTACAGAACACAAAACGCAACAAATAACTTTCGCACATGTTACTAACATGCATATATTGTGATTGCGAATGTGAATGTGACTGTGACTAGCAGTTCATTACATGTCGTAATTCTACGAATGCACTCTATTTAAAGACATTATCTGCTTTTAAATAATATGTACAATGCAAATTTTCTAATTTAATACCCTTTTACTACCATAAATACAGTAATTTGAATAGGTATTTAAAATAATGGTTTAAGCGTTTTTTTATGGTTTTGGTTTTCGTAATAACTTGTTAAGTAACAGTAGCACGAAGTAATACTATTTTTCAAGGTTAACCTTTTAACAAATGAAACCCATGGTATAATTATACCTTTCTTGATTACTATTTATCTGAATACATGACATTGCATACACATTATCGAAACCAGAGAGAGGGAATTTAAAATATCATAAAATATATAGGGTGTTCCATCAAAAAAATAAGCACCCCTTGTGAATAATATTGTAATAAATGAAGAAGAAGCACCAACATTCTAGGCTAGAGCACACGGCTTAGCCCCATGCGCTTTATCCCTTACTTGTTTGCCAGATTTACTGTTTTTAAAGTAAAAATAAATATTCCTGTAATTATTAGAGGTAGAACAGATTTACCGTCGAGTTGTTAATGCCGACAAAGCAGAACATAATGAAATTTATGCACAGATGTGTACATTAAAGTATTTCTAAGTTCGAGGGGGAAGTTGCGTGCAGGGGTGAGCATGGACCTACACGGGATGAATGCAACTTTTCCCCCTCGACAAACGACCGATTTTATGGATTTTCTTTCAGATAAATAACGCTTCGGAGGGTATCTTCACCACGCAATCAAACCGTGTTTCTTTCATCTACCAGTTCACCTAACATAACTCTCTGTTGTACAAATATATTTTTAAGTAAAATAACAATGAAAGCAATGAACTTTAGGGACTATTATTATTTGTTAGCTGTACCACCCACAGTCCTATAGGGTTGTTCTGAAAGTCATTTCGTTTTTTTTTTTGTGGAAATGGAAGAGTTTTCGTATAATAAACGAATACTTTATTAAATTATATATTGACCGTTCTGGTCCAACACCTTTTGCCATCTTTCTGGTAGTAGCATAATTCCACGCTCATAAAATTTTTGGTCTT